TGATTAATTCAGTTGTGATGTATGTCTGCTATGTATATTTTCATAGTTTTGGCTGCTGGATCCCAGTTATGGCCAAGTTAACCAATTATGTCTGTTTGGGTTGCTCACCCAATTTCGCAATATACGAAACATTAAACAACTGCTATACAAGTGGGCCTTTTAGCTAGCTAGAAAACCAGGTTTAACCCATCATTTTCTTATGAAATTACATGTGCCAAGTAGGGAATATGACAGTTGTTTTCCAACGAGTTTTTTTAAAACAATGTTTTTTTTACAATTTCTGTAGAAATTAAGAAATATTTTCGTTTTATTGATATGACTGTGCATAAAAGTTAATGGAAATCAGACGAGACAATCTTTACTGTTCATACAACATAAAACTTATTTTGTTATAAGGCAACTAGTCGGTGTGGTATTATCAAATATTCATATCCAATTGCATTAAACTAGCATAGCCCTATTCGCATACCAAAGTGAAACGGAAAAAGTCATGCAAATCCAATCTTTTGCTATAACATTAACAAATATATATTATCATGTGTTTCAAAAATAATTTGATCGTTGTCGTGGATTTTTGAAATAACGAATAAGCGGCAACAGATCTTCCATGATCCGTTTCATGATCATCAAATAGCCGTACCCGATCTTTCACGATCCGAATTATAAAATTTTTAAAAAGTAATCCCATGTTTGGAAAATTTTGAATTGAACTAAAACTAAATAACTTTAAGAACCATTTTAAACAGTAATACGGAACGATAATTGTTAAGAAAAAGGTAGTTTACGTATTCAAAAAAACATACGCCGAAGAAACCTATTGCCAGAAACACATATGAAATACAGATGAAACTGGATTAGGTAGGCGCAGATTGCAGATTCCTGAGATCACCTCCCGTTTTCGTGGGTTCGTGTTGCTCCGTCTTTAGTTTTCTGTGTTGTGTTTTGTGCACTGTTGTTTGTTTATCTTTTCTGTTTTAAGCCATGGCGTTGTCAGTTTATTATAGTTATTAGGGAATGCAAGCTCTGGAATATCGTATCATCTGGGAAATATGTACTCCATAAGTAGGCGCCCCTGGAAAGTTTTGTTCTCAAACGACCCTCATTGTCAATTTATACATGTACATGTAAGTCAATATATGAGGTTCATGAAAACCTTATTTCAAGTTCTATAGATTCCTAGATTTTTAATTGAAAGAGATCGGTATTATCACGTTAACCAATTATGTCTGTTTGGGTTGATCGCCCCGTTTTGTCAATATAATAGAACTATAAACAACTGTCATTTAAGTGGAAAGTTAAGCTAGCTATGAAGCTAGGTTTAACCAACAATTTTCTGCAGGAATTCCTGTACCAAGTAGTGAAGTTGTCAGTGGTTTTCCATTGGTTTCGTTGGTTGATATAGTCAAGCGTTTGATTTTGTCAGGTTTGGTGTACTCCTCTTATTCAGTTTGCCTTTGAGTTCGTTTTTTTTTCGCATTCAATTGATCCTTTTAATATTATATAAACATAAGGAGATGTAGTATAATTGTCAATGACATGACTATCTTCCAGAGTTAAAATGAAGTGGATATACGCAATTATAGACAACCGTACATCCTTCAATAATTAGAAGAACCCGTACCGTATAGTCGGTCATAAAAGGCCCCGACATGAAAAATGTGAAACAATTCAAAAGATACTACTAATGGTCCAATTTATAACAAATCAATTTACGAAAACAAATCTGACAGATATGAACCAACGACAACCACTAAACTACAGGCTCCTGACTTGGTACATGCACTTAAATATTGTGACGGGCTAAAACTTGTTTGTGGGAGCTCAACCCTCAAAAATGTGTAATGGACTCACACTACAGCTAGCTTAAGTGTCATTTACAATGCTGTATCAACTATGACAATGATAAGTTTACCAATTTGTTTTCGATTAAAATGTGGGAACTATGGGATACACGGTTAACTCAATTTACCTTTGGTCTACTTTCCCTTCCTGAGAACAAGTCGGTATATTGTATATGTGTTGTAGTGGATAGAGGATTGTAAATGATATAATGCTATATTTAAAATCTCGCTAACAATCTAATTTTCATATATAAGCTATCTGTTTCGCATTTTCATGTAAAATTTAGATACTGAATTTAAAGAAGAAGGTCAAACTTTAGGTGTGAGATACACTTCAACCACGTGTAAGTTAATAAGTAAATTAAAAGTGTTGAAAAAAGACTTTTACCAAGCAAAAAAATGAAAAAAAGAGAAGATTGGATAATACAAGTTGTTGTTTTTCCTTTTTCCAATTTCCTTTTTATTTTTATTAGTTTTGTGTCTATATGTGTGATTCCAGCCTTGATTATCAATCACACTTAAAGGCGAAGATTACCATTTAGCGATTAGAAAGGTTGTCATGTTTATAGACTAAGTATTCGACTGTGTAAAATGTTTATAAATCTAGGCGACAGTAGAGAGTATTCTGTTGTTTAGTACTGACCTATAGTCTCGGGTTTTTCATTTTTTTTTATTTAAGTTCACATCCACTTTTATCTTTCTAGAAAACACTGAATGAGGAAGTTGCTATAAATATAACATGGGAAAACGCAGTTTTATTTTTATTTGTTTGATAAGTACCTTCGATATGTTGATACATGATATCATTTTAATTCAGACGTTTAAATGAGGTAAGTTGTTTTTGTTATAATAGAATCTACTAAAGCAATTTTTTACAGGACAAGAACTGATAGTTGGCTATACAAAAACATCACATTTCTCTTTTCTAATACAACCCATCGTTAGGCATCATCACGATAAAGGTTGTCATACAATGTACATTTCTTTCTTTAATATTTTAAGAAGACGAAATGCCATGTTCTTGGTTTAAAAAACTGTAATCTTATTCCAGGATGTTTACCGAGCATAGTATTAATTATACAGTAATTATTTAATTTGAAGAATGGACATAAATACAAGTATATGATGATAACGAATATATTCATAAGTTATGTTTTTTGGTTTTTCTTTACATATATATGTGTATGTTAGAGTTGTTTTTCTGTATTTTTTTAAAAATGTTATGTTCTTAAGTGTACATTTATTTTACAGAAGCGGGGATAATACATGTATCTATGAAACGTATTTTGGTAATGCTGCATCATATTCATGAATCTGTCTCTGCTTTAGTCAGTGATTGTCTGACGTCTTTGCTGTATTACTGATTTTTGGTAGCGCCTCTTCGTAATTCATTCACATCGTTTTGAGAATTCGAACAATTGAAAGCTTTGCACAATGCACAAACAACTGCTTTGCTTGATCTTGGAGACAGATTAAAATAAGCAACGCCAGTTGTGTTCCACTTGTTCCGTTGGTATATATAACGTTGATTTTGTCAGTCTTTATGGACTCCCCCTTTTTATATTTACCCTTGAGTTCGTTGTTTGTGTTATACTTTAATATTTTTTGGATCCTATTGTTTATATTGTACTATCAGATATGATGTAAATCATTGAATGCAATTTTATTTGAATCAAACACTTGTCTATTATTTAATTTCCCTTTTATGTATCATTTCTATTTTATTGTTTTGGCGTTGGGTTGCTGTCTCATTAGCATACACCCTACATCTCCATTTAGTGACTTGTATTGTTTCCCTCCGAATGTCGGTTTAACCTTAAATTTTACGTGAAGTACTCCATTTTTTATCATAATAAAATAACAGTTGAATTTGATACAATTTTATAATTTGTCCACTTGTACCTAACATGTATGAGATCATTCCCGGTTTTATGTGGGGTTCGTGTTGCAAAGTTTTTCTTTTTCTATTTTGTGTTTTTGGTCTTTTTCTTTTCTTTTGTATTGCCATGGCACTGTCATTTTATTTTTAACTTATGAGTTCAAATGCCCCTTTGGTATCTTTTGCCTCTCTTGTACTGTCTAATAACATAAGTATTTTTTAATATGAGGAAGTACATGTATTAACTGACGAAGTCCATATTAATACTTTATGAGTCAGGAATCCATGTGTTATTATCAATAACTATAATTTTTATTTTTTTTTAACGTATAATCTATCAGTTTTGTTTTAAATAGTTCTGTAAGCAGCTGCTGAAGAATACCAATGACATACCTGTTTCATTCAAAGTATTAAAATGTTTCTATTTTGATTAATTTTATTTAAGTAATGGTTACAGTTCCAAATAAGAGAAGGACTGTTCAAAAGACAATGTAAAGCATACACTACAGTATTGTGGCATAACTTGCCTCTATGCAAATGCATCTACCTGATTCAAAAATTTCTAATGAATGGTCACTTATATGCAGTAAACTCATCATAGATACCATGATTTCATCAGACGCGCGTTTCGTCTACACAATACTTAGAAATAAATTCACCTGTCCTAAGTCATGAAATCTGATGTTCAGTAGTTGTCGTTTGTTGATGTGGTTCATAAGTGTTTCTCGTTTCTCGTTTTTTATATAGATTAGACCGTTGGTTTTCCCGTTTGAATGGTTTTACACCAGTATTTTTTTGGGGCCCTTTATAGCTTACTGTTCGGTGTGAGCCAAGGCTCCGTGTTGAAGACCGTACTGTGACCTATAATGGTTTACTTTTATAAATTTTGACTTGGATGGAGAGTTGTCTCATTGGCACTCTTACCACATCTTCTTATATCTATTAGACAATAACCTTTTCTGTTCTCTATTTTCAATCATCAGATAAGATTAAAATTCAAAATTAAATTAAAATGTTATATATTATTACAGTTTAATGTTTTCTTCCATTATTGAATAAGTTAAATTTCAAGAATTCTAAAAATTTGGAAATGAGGTTTTGTTTAACTTTCCTTACAATATAACTGGCTTTTAGTTACTCATAGTTCTTTAGAAATGATTCTAATTTTAAATATTTAAGAATTTCTTGAATACACCCATACCATGAATTTTATTTTCAACAATGTCATATATTTTGATAAATTATATGCCTCTAAATGAATATAGTTATTTTGTTTTACATTTTTAACCATGGAACACCATTATTTAACAAGATTTAATAATACTGATATAATATAAATGGTACATAACATATCCCATTCTTTTGTTTGGTATACTCTTTTCATACACAGAAATAAGCAACTCAAGGTCACTGTACGGCCTTCAATAATGAGAAAAACCCATGCTGTACAGAAAGCCATAGACAGGCCCAAAATGACAAATGGATACATATCAAACGATAATTTTAATGGCCTGATTTATTAGTTTACTTACCATTTCCAAGACGAAATTGCCACTATGAGTAAAGAAGCATCCTGTAGCAGTCCAATATCAGAAAGTGGACAGCCATGTGTTCAAGATACAAATCCTGCTGCTATGCCTGCGGAAGAAACAGATACAGAAACTTTTCTGTGCTTACGCTCAACATCTCGTGAAAAGACAGATACTGCTGATCTCGGTAAAGAGATTACCACACAAGTCGTCGACAATATCCAGCGTGAAAGAAAACTTTCAGACAAAGGAAATCCGGTAGATCAGGAGAAGGGTCACATGTGTGACAGACAAGAATCTGCTTCGTCAGACACTAGCAGTTTTGTTGGAGTTGGTTCAAGTGTATTTGGTAGCTCGGGATATCGAACTGAGTGTAAGTTTAAGCATGAGCTAACAGAAAACAAAAATTATGATTTCATACAGAGGCAAAAAATTCTTTGATTAATGATGTAAGTTTTTATCTGGATATAATCTATAGCTTGTGTCCCAATTATAAGAAATAAACAGTATGTTTTTTCGAAGTTTATCGATACCTGAACTCGAACTTTATATCAAAAACTTACATACTGTTCTGTCTACTTATTACGGGTTACTGATTGAGTCGCCCAAATGAACACATCGATGTATTCCTTCACAGTTATGTATTCAGTATATCGTTACTAGTTTTAATGTTATACTTTCATGTTTATTTATGGTAGGTCTAGATGTTATCTTTGTCTACCGTGTGTCATGTTGTAAAATAGAAATTAATCTTCGAAAAACCTTATAAAATAGACTGTACTTAAAGATGGATGCAGAAGAATTTATTATCCAAAAATATTTATGAAACATTTCCAACACAGGTGATACTTGTGACCTGCTTATGGAAAGTCCCTTTTGTGAATTCACGAAGACATTCTGGAAATCAATACCGAATTTAGGACCGGATAGAAGTCAATCCTGTCATTGCAAGGTGACAAACTTATGCAAATACATTGTATTTCATAAATTATTATCAAGTACTTTTACTTAGAATATATAAAATAACAATCTCTGACGAAAAGAGACATATTTCTGTCAGAACATCATGAAAAAGTATTCTGATAGTTAGCATGAATAAAGGCTAATAATAAAGAAAACAAATCCGGGTTACAAACCAAAACCGAGCCCAAGGGAAACACATCAACTATAAGAGGAAAACAAAGGAACAACAGGAGCACTGAAGGGCAACAAAAACAAACGGCAACACACATAGTAACGAACTATTTGATAACAATTGCCATATTCCTGACTTAGTACAGGACATTTTAAGAAAAAATGGTTGGTTGAACTTGCTTTAATGGCATGCCAAACCTCCCGCTTTATGACAATGATAAAAAATATCGCTAAAACACTACGTGACAGAAATACAACGCACAAACACATGCAAGAACATACATAACAGAGAAACGCACAAACAAATAAAATAATAGTCGACACAAAATACAAACCACAGAACAACAACGAACATATTGCATCAACGACAAACACCACAAGATATCAATAACAGTGACGTGCTTACGTAACTAACATGCAATCTCGAACTTTATACAATTTTTTTTACAATATTCGTCCAAACAATTTTCACGACAATAAGGTATTGAAAGGCAATGGAATTTGATACGACTGTCGTACAAGTGAGAGGTTTAGCGCTATAAAACCAGGTTCAATCCACCATTTTCTGCATAAGAAAATGCCTGTACCAAGTCAGGAATATGACAGTTGCTGTCCATTCGTTTGATGTGTTTGTGCTTTTGATTTTGCGATTTGATTAGGGACTTTCCGTTTTGAATTTTCCTCGGAGTTCAGTATTTTTGTGATTTAACTTTCTTTTTTTTATAATTATTTGGACTACAAACGATAAGACATAACAAATTATCCAACCGAAACCATAACAGAAACATCAAAAATAAATCCATGAATGTTGGATGTACAAATCACCGAGACACGCCGCACAGCAATGCAGATTAACATTCAATATAACAGTCATATTCGGGAATATGACAATGATGGTATTGAAAGGCGATTTTATATATTCATTTGGACAACAAACGATACGATATAACACATAGCGACAATCATTTTTGATAACAATGAGTAAAAAGTAAAATAACAAAAATATCGAATCCAAGGACAATTCAAAACGGAAAGTCCCGTATCAAATTGCAAAATCAAAAACTCAAAAACTTCAAACGGATGGTAACAGATAAAAACAGATTGTTCCTAAATGCGCATTGATATATGAAATACATTTATGATGACAATTACAATATTGTTCTATAAAACCCTTATCTCTCGAATATACCAGATGCTTCGAAAGGTGTGTACTACATCATTAAAATATCAATTGTCGAACTTCTCTTATTTAAAGTGTATACTTCTGTAATAATCAATATGTGATGACGAGTCTCCAATACAAAAAGAAAATGGAAAATATTCGTTGTGTTCTTTTAAAAAGACATTTGTATGTCAATTGGAATTAATATATATATATATATATACCTTTAACGGGTGCCACATGTGGAGCGGGATCTGATTACCCTTCTTGAGCACCTGAGATCACCCCCAGTTATTGGTGGTGTTCGTGGTGATCAGTCTTTAGTTTTCTATGTTGTGTTTTGTGTAGTGTTGTTTGTGTATTGGTCTTTTTCTTTTTCTTGTTTAGCCATGACGTTGTATGTTTATTTTCGACATATCAGTTTGAATGTCCCTCTGGTATCTTTCGCCGCTCTCTTCTTTTACTTTTTTGTACAGTTAACAGCTAGCGTTAATTCAAAATCCCAATAGGAAATATAAGTTCTTGAATTTATCTTAAACATGTTTTATTTCCTTAAATAAACAAAACTTGTTATGCAAAATTATGCAAAATTTATAAAATATAAAACTAAGAGAATGTGGTATCAAAGGGACAATGGAGCAGCTATATAGCAGAGACTAAATGAAATAGATGTATTTTACAATTACCGTACGGTTTAGTAATTCAGTCTGTTTATATATAAAAAAATTGTAACAATATGATATTAAAAGAGCATGAATAAAATACAATACTAAATAAGAAATGTGTAAGTGCTTCTAAATAAAAGATGTATTTATTATTTTATGTATCTTTTAATTATCTTTTACGTTCTAGTTTTTTGGAAAACTTGTACAGAAACTGAAAGATGATTTTCCACACGAAAAGGGTTTAAACAGTAAAAGTACAATCAATCTCCTCAAGTTTCTGTTACATGTAGAGTTCAAAGGTATGACCAAGACAAAATTATTTTATTATATACTGTCCTTGTGCATATATCCTGGTAAACAGACAAATATGATAGAAAAAGTGAATAATAGACGTATAAGGAAAACACTATGATTTGTATTTGCATGTAACAGTTTGTGTTCATCGCACTGATTTTCCTGTTGGCATTGTCAGTTGAGTTGTTTGTATGAAAATAAGAAGATGTGGTATGATTGCCCATGAGACAACTATCCACAAGAGACCAAATGACTCAGAAATTAACAACAAAAGGTCATCGTACGGCATTCAAAGTCCATACCGGATAGTCAGCTATAATAGGCCCCGAAATGACAAATGCAAACAATTTTAAACGAGAAAACCAACGGCTTAATTTATGTACATAATAATGAACAAAAAACAAAAATGTTACACAGCAACACACGACACCCACTGGATTACAGGCTCCTGACTTAGGACAGGCATATACAGAATGTGGCGGGGTTAAAGTCGTTTGAAGGCGCCAACCCTCCTCTGACCTTGGACAGTGGTGTAAAAACACAACCTAAATACAAACTAAAAAAATCAGTTGAAAAAGGCTTAACTCGTCAGATTGATAAACAGAAGTTCATCCAACAACAACACAGAGTGGACGTGGATGGGTACTTATAAATCACTTCAACAAAAAGACAATAAGTACGTATACATAACTGATAGTACTCGCAGTGCCGTATTTTAAAAAATACGGTACACTACCAATGTTTAGTCATTTAAATACTACTTTAGAACATGTAATCTTCCTTTTATGTTTATTGTATCTATGATATTGTGTTATTCGTTTTAAAGAAAGATCATTTGAATTGTGAGCATCACATCGAAATTATATTTGTTTAGAACTATTGCCTTACAGCAATTAACGTATCTTTTATCTTTATTTAATAACTGGTGATGTTTTTGTTGTAATTGATTTATCTACTGTCACTCTATAACATTCTAGATCCAGCTGCACCTGTTCTGCTTTCAAATATACTAAGATTAGTCAAATTGTTTGGACCTGTTCGTAAAGAAAATAATGGTTGTGTACTTATCAACCAGGTATAAACATTTGTTATCACTTGACGCTGAGAGTGACAAATTAGACTTTAAATGTGGGGACATTTTCAAAACATTGAATATCGATTAAAACAGGTAAAATTCCATTTGCGTGATATTAACTAGGTATCCTACACACTTCTTTCGTTCGTTTAAAAAGATTATTTTCTGATATCATTACTTATGATTATAGGACGGGAACGGTGTACGTGTGTGCGGGGAAGGGGGTTGATAGTTATTCAAGTGCACTTCTAGATTTGAAAAAAAATCACATAATACGCCAGTTTGATTTTGTTTATATTAATAACTGTTCTTCGAGCATAATTATCAATCTGATACTCCACTATATAACCTCGTCCTGAAAATGCATGAGATATTTGTTACTGGACGAACAGCAAACATCAATCAATCGATCTCTACTAAACCCGCATAAAGCTCCACAGTATGGTCTGGTTGATTTTGAGTTTTAAAGTTTTTAAGCGCCTTAAAGCGTGTTCCACATATACTCGACACCCGAACGATAATCGCAAGTTAACTTTGTACATTATATTCTTTCTGCTCTTGGTCTACATGTAGCTCTAAGTTTACGACGCCTTTAGAGGCAACGAGCGGATAACTACATGTGATATATCATTACCTTAAATGACAAAAACCTGGTTGGAAATTGGTCGCAATTTTTATACGGTCGACTAAGACAAATTCAGTGTATAGATTTCACAAAAAATTGGTATCTAAGCATGTACTTGTGCACTTAATTGAAGCATGAACAGAAACCTCAAAGAGAAATATGCTGAAATATGTATAAAGATGTTGAACATGCGAAAAACGAGTCACATTTGACATAGAACCCTTACATGAGGAATTACAATTTCAGTTTAAACTTTCTTTTCCTAAGACTTAGTTAACGTTAAAGTTAAAGAAATAAACAAAGAAACAACATGCCTTAGACTTTTCGGACTGCTTGAAAGGCTGATCAAACGGGTAAGACAATTTTATACCCATGAAATTACAATTCGAAATGTTTTAAAACTGTGCATGAATATGTATAGGATGTCTTGTTCTAAAGATTCTTATTTCGTTGGGTCGAACAAGTAACATTTTACATGAAAATAATATAAGGGAAATTAAGCTTTTCCTAAGAAGGCATTACCAGATTATGACTTTATTATAAAATCATTCTCAAGGTCTTAAAAGGGCAAGCGAGGCGATAGAGGTATCATCGTGGTCATATGCATGATACATGTATGTGTAATTGCCAAAAATTTCGGAAAGTTCAAACTCTGAAAAAAAGGCAAACTGTATCCAAAAGGAGTTGCATATTTTCTATGTATATGAATACCGCGGCATTGCACAAAGTTTAGAAGCTACTAGGTTAGGAGTTTATTCCTCAAAATAGTTACCCTCTTCTCCCGCTCGCCTGCACTTCCGCGCTCCCGAAATGAAATAAGTCTGTTCTGCATTGCTTGCAACACGTCCAAAATTTCTGACCTCCGGAAAACACCTCGTTAAGTTAAATGATCCGTCGCTGCTGATTTCGAAAATTTCGAAAAATTAAAAATAGCAAATAAATATTGATGTAATAATTCATAAAGGGTTGGTGGTGGTGGTTGGGGTGGGGGATTGGGGGGGGGGGGGGGTTGGGGGGGTAGGGGTTGTTTCTCTCTGGATTTTATATCCTTTCTGCAATACTCTTACCTCCTGTAAGTGTTCCAAAAAAAAAGAAATATAATGGGATTCATCATTTTTATTCCTCCAGGAATTATTGTTATGGACTTTTTGTCCATAATTAAAAGATCAAAGGGACGTCTTTTATAAGGAACAAATATACGTGGACATCAGTACTATGCAGTTAAAACACAAGATCTATATTCAATTGGTACACAGGTAATTTAAATCTTTAAATCACTTTTGTGTTTTGATACGATACCCGCATTTAAAGTCTAATTTATCAACCTCAGCGTCGAATATATATTATTTCGTAACATGTCTAATGGAAACAATATCCAATGAATTTATGTATTTAGAGACTTAATCTTATTCAAGTATTGAGTGGCGTTTTTTTTTTTTATTTATTTTTATTTTTAATTTTCATTTACAGTGTAAAATTAAGAAAGTGTTGTGATTGTTTTTAACTGACAAGGTAAACTTCTGAATAATATATTAAGATATGATTTGCAAACTGAAAATAACATGAAATTTGATGAATTATATTGAACTAGCATCCACATGTTATGTACTGCTTTGAAGACAATTTTCAGTTTCTGTCAAGTTTCTTAATTATTTCACATAAATTCCGAAGAAACTGCTTTATAGTAGCTCTACCCGTTGAAACATTTCACAAATTTGTATCCGCACCGCTTAATTGCGCTTTTTTTTAATTTTTCCATGCCAGCTACACCAACTGCTGAGAAGATCATTGAAAAAGAGAGAACAAGATTCAAATAAAATGTCAACGTATGTTTTATAACCTATTATGTATTATTTCTGGCTATAGTAAAATTAATGCAAGTTATGTGTGAGAAATTTCTCTAACAACTAAATGTAGATATTTTTCTTGGTATGTTTTGTTCACTTTTTTCAATAAGCTTTTGCACGTTTTTAGAAAATAAAATAAGTTCAGGCAGTCTTGAATACATGTTCAAATTTTCGTCATTACTGTTTTTTTTTGTACGTACTATGAATAATACTGATAATTGTATCGTTGATAATTAATTTTGCTGTTTGGACGACAAAACATGTTTAAATACGTATTCGTTCCTTCTGGAGTCACTGTTTGAATTCAGAATATATTCTACGCTCTAGTAAACTCTATATATTATTTTTCGGAGAAAGTTGTTGCAAATTCAATGTTTGTGAGATGTATATATGGGTGTTTTCGAATTTGATCACTCATTTAAAAAAGATCATTTGTCTGTTCATATCTTTCAATCACTCATATATATAGGGATTTATAATCATACGTTTGTACCTTATTCTTGTGAAGTTATAATATAAAGTTGTTGACCAATCATGATCATTGCTGTGTTCTTTCAATGTGTTAACATATCAACCTTTAGGTGTTTTCGGGCATTTTGTTGTTCTCATAATCGATTAAAGTTATTGTTATTCCCTAGGTTTATGTTTGCTACATGTATTACTCTTTTCCTAATCGATTCACGAACTGTCGCCTTAATTTATTATCTTGACATTACAGGTGGTTTGTTGGAGAAATGAGCAGACAAGAGGCAGATGACCTTCTGTTAAATGATAACTGTAAGGACAAAACATTTTTAATCAGGTGGGTTAAGTCACTTTTTTTTTTAAATTCTCAAATAAGTTAGTGCATTTATTTCTTTAATTGTTATCATAAAACAGTGAACAGTATATAGTTGTTTGTACTTCTAAATATTTTAAACAATAAAGTACATAAATTCCAAGACATGTGGGTGCACCAAAAGGAGCAGGGCTGACTTACATTTCCTGAGTGTTAGGTGCAGTTTGTAATACGCAATTTGTAGTTTTTGGTATAGTTGTTTCTTTCTTTTGGCCATAATGGTGTCTGTATTTTTATGTCTATTTTATCACAAATGCTAAGGTTACTCTAACTACTACAAGATAGCATATTGCCGAACATGATTTCATCTACCGTCTGTTTTTTAAAAAAATGCCTGTTGTTTGCTGTCTAGCATAATTGTTTCTCGTTTATTGTTTAATATAAAGCAAGCCTTTTGGGTGTGTTATTTGCTAATTGTTGAAGGCCATACCTGTAGCTAATCACAGCCTTGTCATTTGCTCGTTGTTGGGTAGTCGTGTCTTTGGTAATCATACTGCATCGCTATTTTATGATATCTGTCATGTTAAAAAAAATATATATATATATAATTTCCGATGTCTTTCTACAATTAAATGTAATAGTTTAACCTTCGTTACATCTCATTTTTACTCTGATCCTCTCTTTTTTAATAGAATCAGTGGCACTGATGGAGAAGATGGAGATTTTGCTCTATCAGTAAGACATGAAAACCACTGTCATCATCTTAAGATACAAGTAATGTTTCAAACTTTTAAAGTAATTTTGATGTGTTTCATCATTTGTCTATTTGTGCATGCAATTTTGTACAGTTTTTAATATTTGAATATGTACATCAATTATAGTGTTCATAATATTTTCCTTTTTATAAATTCAGTAATTAGAAGTTAATTCCTTATCTAAGATAGTCTCTGTTATATTGTCACATATTTGTGTAGACCCAGGTCGATTGGGATATTGACATATTTGTCTTTGGGTTGCAGTTTCAGAAGTTGCGATTTCATGAAAAACGTATAGACCCTCCTGTGTTGTTTTATCATTAAAATTTTTGTTTCAAAATTGCAGTTACAAATAAAAAATACAGCTGCAGCTGGGGTAAAGGAGAAATTAGAAAAATTTGATTAAAATCTTTTATTATTTCAACGTCTCTTTGCGTTTAAAAAGTAAAAATCACAAAAATACTGAACTCCGAGGAAAATTCAAAAAGGAAAGTTCTTAATCAAATAGCAAAATCAAAAGCTCAAACAAATCAAACGAATGGATAACAACTGTCATATTCCTGACTTGGTACAGGCATTTTCTTATGTAGAAAATGGTGGATTGAACCTGGTTTTATAGCTAGCTAAACCTCTCACTTGTATGACAGTCGCATCAAATTCCATTATATTGACAACGATGCGGACACTCTGTAATCGTTTAACATATAAATACATGTATGATGTTTTTCTTTCAAAGAACCGATTTGTCTGTTTTCTGTAAATACCTATCCAATGTAAATTTGTTTGAATTTTTAAGTTTGCTAAATGCCCTTTTAAATCTGTTGTATAACTCAACACTTCTTTGTTTTATTATTAATTAAATTGAGAGTGAAAATGGGGAATGTGTCAAAGAGACAACAACCCGACCATAGAGCAGACAACAGCCGAAGTATATTCCGGTAAAGTTGACCCCAGATGAGTCAGGCTTTTCTTTGTATGTACCATTTTGTCATTAAGCTTATATATAATAAGGTATTTATACAATCATATCTGGTTTGAATTTTTTGAGGTTTGAGCGTGCTTGGTGAAGGTAAATCAAGAAAAATATTTCGGAAACACCAAGTTTATTAATTTGTATATTCATTTCAACTTACTAGATCGATACTGGTAGACTATTTCTAAGATTTTCTATTGATAAATTTGGAAATCATTTAGAAACTAAGATGGCAACTTCCGCAGGAAAATTTAACCTTTGATTTTTTGCTATTCCTTTTAGTCCGTTTTGATCATTAAGCTCCTTACGTATTCGGAATGTATAATCTTTGGATTAAAATATTGTTGGGTTGGAGCGTTCCTGATGAAGAAAACCCAGAAAAAGGCTTCGAACGCACTAAATTTATCACGTTATATTTTTATTGGTTACTAAATACAATGAAATAATTTTTTAGAAAAATGGGAATTCTACTCAAATCGTTTAAGAAAGTGTTTTTCAATTGCTTAAGTTATAACAAATAGCAAAATGATAGTCTCAACTCTGTTTGAGAACAAATTAGTTTCGAAAATCTGTTACAGATACTTATCTGATCATTTGTATTTTATATTTAGGGAAACCCAAAGAAAGCTTTATCAGAAGAACCATATAATGCTCAACTGAAATTTGACGGACAAGTTTTCAAGTCACTAACTGATATAATCGAGCATATAAAAATGGGTGATATACAACTTGATGATGATACTGAAGATAATCCATGTTCATCTATCTCATGCCTCAGAGTATATCAATACTCACCATTAAATGGTGTGATGTCAGGGTATGAAAAAACTAAATAATGAATTTTACTGGATGTAAAACAAAGTATTGTCAGTTGTTAATGAAGATAGTTGCATAACATACAAAACTTACAAAATGTATATGTTGATTGGCTGATACTAGTATTATTTGACATTTAACATATATATATATATATTATAGACAGCCATTACCAATGTTATATGAAATGAAGTCGATTTGTTTTAAAGCGATTGACAGTATGTTTTTTTTTAATTCAGGTGTGTCCATATGCCTTTAAAAATCTTTGCTTTGTGTTTATGAAATATATAAAATTCTAAATAAGGGAGACTTATATAAGATCTTCTTGTTTCCGAATCCTTGTATTTCTATAGTATAACTGCAATTTGTGCACTTTTGAAAAATTAAATACTGTTTAAACTAAATAAAATTGTATGTGATCGTTTTCTTTATATTTAAGTATTTCTGATAGTTAGACCGTTTTTTAAAGCTATATTAAATAAACATAATAATGATTTTATGACAACTGCCAACATGTCTTTGGCTTATAAAAACTGATAATTGTCAACATATCTTGCTGTTCTTAATTTAACAACAGGATTTGGAATAAGTTTTATTGCTTTGAAATATCTACTCCAATAAAAATATCAATTTTAATTAGGATTGTAAGGTGAGCAATATTCAAGGAATGGAAATAAAAATAAATGTTATTGAACTGAGAAAACTGAACAAAATCGAAAAGAACAACACAAATCAAGTCCAACACGCAAAAAACAAAATCAAGAATAAAATTGTAAATGAAAGTACGGTGGGAATATTAAGTCACAATTTAAAAAAAAATATAGATCTCAAAAAAATATATTATACCAGGCTTATAATTATGTACGCCAGACGTGCATTCGTTTACAGACTAATCCATGGCGCTAGAATCATAACAGTTGGATGGCCAAATTAAATACGACTTTGAAGAACGTTAATCGAATCAAATGTGCAAAATACGGCTAAGGCAATCTTTACAATTGGTGTTAAAGTTAATGTTTCGAATAATTTATGATCAGTAAACATACAGAAAATTAACACATCATAACACATTTCATTATCAATATATTTTTAATGTTATTTCATGTCAACACAAAGTGCTGACTAGCAGCTTATGGCAATGAGAATTCAATAAATGATTTATCTATGCAAGTCACACCCATCAACATACGATGGTGGTCAAGATGTAGCAAGCAAATGATAATTGAACTATATATACTTTACTATTTTCAATATAATTGCGGGTCTTCAGTGGCCGAGTGGTCTGAATAGTTTAACTTCTGTATCACTATCCTGTCAACACTGAGGTTATGAATTCGAACCCTGCACGTAACAGGTGAGTTCAACTTTAATCTTAATTTACAAGGATTGTCAGTTTTCCTACCGAAGGTCGATGGTTCTTTCTGGGAACTCTGGCTACATCCACCAATAAAAGCTGACCGCTGCGAAATGACCAATAGAGCTGAAAGTTGCGTTTAACTTCAACCAATCAATCAATCAATTAATTTGCCGCTTTAATACTTGTAAATCAAAAAAGTCATCATCTTGTGATTTCCATTGCTGTGCTAACTAGCATCATGGATAGGTGGAAGTGAAAAAATCCATCCCAGCTGAAGTGTAAATCCAACATTCGCATGTTTACTGTCTAATTCGGTTTAACCGTATGTGTACTTGAGTGTGTAAAACGTTCAATGAAGTAACAGAAGTATATTGTCCCTTAATTTCAAATATCATACACCTAGGAGGTAAAAAACGATTTTTCAGTGATTCATTTGGACATCAATTGGAACTTATTTTTCAGGACCCAAACGGATTAAAACCAAAAGTTCTCTGAATAAGCAATTAACACTTTTCATATTTTACTGAGATAATCTTCGTTGAATTAATTCGGCAGTTTGACATACAGACCATTGATAATTCGGACGGAATCTCTTGTTTTTCCTGTATGAAACATAGTATATATATATATATTAAAGATACCAAGGCGGCAAACATAAGCCAAATAGCAAAGCATGGTAAAAAAGAAGGACAAAAATGAAAGACTACACGATAAATTTAAAGATGAGTCACACAAACCACCTAGAAAAATCAGAGTTGATCTCTAGTGCTTCAAAATGGTCTGCAGTTCTTGTTTCATTCGTGACACCAACCGTGAAACTCCTGCTATAATACGTTGATTGGTCACATCCTATAAGCATGATAAGCAGGGATCACACATTTAAAATTTAGAAAATTGCTCAAAGGGCCTTACGTGTATCTACCCCTAAGACATAACCAAATCATCGATCTGGGAATATTTTGAAACCATACACGTTAATTTTGTTTAATTGATTGTATAGTCATAACCAATAAAATAAATGTATCAAGGTTAGTGCTCATATATAGAAAGGAGTGAAATAACGAATTGGGGCTGTCTAAATCTTAAAATATTGTAGGTATACTTTTCTAAAAACGAGCAAAAGACAAACAACAGTCTACACACACAACATAGAAAACTAACGACTGTGAAACACGAACCCCATCAAAATCCATGGGGTGTACGCAGGTATTTTGTTGAGGTTCCTTGACGTTTGGCTGCTTTTATTCATACTCAATTTCCTTTTTATATGACAAATATCAATGAAATGAGGAGAGGAAATAACCCCATCATAGATACCAGGATTACAATTTTGTACACCAGACGCGCGTTTCGTCTACAAAAGACTCATCAGGGACGATCTAATAAAAATAGTACAATCTGCCAAATAAAGTACGTTGTTAAAAAGAGTAATTTCGAAAGGTTTTGACAAATATAGCTAGGGTAATCTATATCTGGGGTAGACAACCTTATTTTTTAGTATTTCAAAAAATATCAAAGTATTATACACAGTCAATTTATAATTATGACCATATAAATGATAATTAATGTCAACATAGAAGTGCTGACCACTAAGCTGGTGATACCCTCGGGAAGATACCTCCACCAGCAGTAGCATCGACCCAGTGGTTGTGAATAAACTCATCATATATACCAGGATTGAAATTGTGTACGCCAGACGCGCGTTTCGTCTACAAAAGACTACAACAAAAAACATCAGTGACGCTCGAAAACAGTTATAGCAAAACCAGAAATATTTAACACAGTTCATTAAAATTTAATACCCATAACTCAAATAATCATTACATTCATAATAGTTAATTGCTAAAACCAGTATTGCCAACTTACAGCCTTCAATTTTTAGAATCAATATATTTCCCTGGTGACACTTTATTTATAATTTGTTTGACTTTATTGGAAAGCTCCTTTACTTGTGATGTGCGACCAACAATTATAATTTTTGAAAGCGATGGTATAGGATTGATAATGAACGATGGATTTGGGAAAATTTTCGAAATTTTTATCATGACAGCATTCCAATTATTTGGTGATATAGTATGTTCCTCGACATCTATATCATTCATAAATGTAGACAAAGTTATATTCACGGTTTTATTCCATGACCCGGCGAGTTTACTATACTCATGTATTTCCTCAGTCAACGTACATTCTATGATAATTCTGTTATCTTTTGGGGAAAGCGGAAGAATCATATGTGCAAAGCATTTTTGTAGATTGTGTTCTAGTTCCTCACTATATGGCAGTGAATATTTCAAGAAATGAACTTTGTTTTGGTCATTATGTGTTACTATTAGAGGTGCCATTTTTAAAGTTGACTCCAGGGCGACATTGCTTTCAGTTGAGGTTCCAAGGCATTCATGGAAGACTTGTACCTTCAAGTTTATGTTGTCAATTTCATGAGATCGTGTGCAGGCTATGACGGCGTCTAAAATTGATTGGAAAGGACTTCATTAAACAGTTTTATAAGTATATGACAAATATATTTTATAAGGTACCAAACCTTACAAAAACGCATGAAACAAATAAGTTGTAATTGAGAAATAAAACTACTTAAAACGTAAAAACCAAACGGAAATCGTTGCACTAGAGAAGAGAAAAACTGAATGACTATATATAATGGCTTTTCAACTATGACAAGCAGAAATAGAAGCATGTAACTTCTTTCTTTTCAATTGTATAGGTATTTGAACATGAATCATATGAAAATGATCCAAGCATACCCAAGTTAATATTTATGTAAGGTGTAGGAATGTGTCTTTTGTTTCTATTCTTTTGGATTTATTGAATCTTATTAAATTATTGCTGAATTTATATATTTCGTTATACTTGTAAATTGAGGAAGAAACGTTTTTGTACTTTTTTCATGAATGAACAAATGTAACGTTGCGCTTATTTGAAAAGTATAACAAAAATACCGAACTCCAAGGTAAATTTAAAATTAGGAAGTCCATAATTTAAACCTTTCAACGTTACTCAATTGTCCAGATGTATTTACTAGTTAACACGATAAACATTCTATATTTCTTCTTGATGTTATCCTAACATAAAATTTAAAATTAATTGATGCAAGCATCCTACAAATAACGCTTAATTTGAAACAAATTACCTGCAATCTGACGAACAACGTCCAATTAGTCTAGAACAAGATATCCGGCAGTTTTCATAATGGGGGCCTACTTTAAATACTCATAACACTAATAGAAAGTTTAAAGTAAATATTCAAATATAAGTGATGCCGTGCGCGGAGTGTGCTGACTGGTGCTGAAATTTCAACATACCTTTAGTAACATAAACGGTACCAATTTTGCTGCACCAGATGCGCATTTCGACAATCAATGTCTCTTCAGTGATGCTCGAGGCCAACATATTTGAAAATCCAAAGCTTATTGAAAAGATGAAGAGCTATAACCCAAAAAGGACAAAAAATTATAACATAATGCATATTTGAGCTAACTTTTTCCCGTAAGTTTGGTAATACAAAGCATGTACTTCAGATCCGAGCACAAAGGCAATTATTCCCTCATATTCTAATTTGATATACTTGTTACTTGTTTAATTATTCAAGGTAAACTTTAAACAAGGGGTTTACAGCATTTCCAAGTCCTCAAGCTTTAAGCTGATACCATAATTTCCTAAATATTTAACATATTGACAAAATGAAAGCTATGCGAAGGATATGTTTTGTTTCAAATGTGTACTACTTTCTTATATGGTCTTCAAAACCGGGCTCGAATTATTGGTTCTTACTTGCTATATGGATTTCTGCTTTACTAAATTTTATTCTATTTTTTTTCTAGCGAAGAAAAACAGCTTTTGTCAAAACACTATTGCACTAAATTTAAGCTCAAAATGGACTGTTAGAAACATATGCTTGATGCACAGAAAACTGCATATGAATAGTAATAGTGACCAAAATGAGATTGTTTGCATTTATGAATTGCCATTTCGTATTTGTTAATAGTTAGTAAAGTAAAAATGTTCTTACATTTATGTTTTATTTTATCAGAAATAATTCAATATATAAATATAGTGGTCAAAAGTTAAAATATAATTGCGAATTGTGTCCCCCTTTTTTTGTGCAAGTTGTGGAAGGGGTGTTTTGTTTATAAACAACATACTTATATGCAGTAACATGGATAAAAAAGAACAATTTATGTATCTTCCAGTCCGAAACTTACTTTACTCTAAAATGACATTTCAAAATATTTTTGGATTCGTATATAAGTATATTACAATTTTCGAAGTCATAAAATGACACAATAAGAAACCCATAAAACTAAAAATATGACCAAAAACTATCTGTTTACTGTAAACCAGGCATGCTATACAAATCTCGTTTATTCCAGTATAAAATAATGCAAAAATTAAAACCTCAGATTGAGGGTTGACTGTTTGCATATTTATGATCATAAAATGCTGAAATATCCTAATAAAGGAATGAAGGGCTATGATTTGGTACTAACATATATTTTTTTTTATAAAAAGATGAATTAACATGACGAGTAAAAAAAATGTGCCCAATTTCTGTTTGAGATTTCGATTTTGCCAATTGTTAAGGAACTCTCCGTTTTGAATTTTCCTTGGAGTTCACTATTTTTGTTTTAATTTTTGATTGAAATGGTAATAATGTTTAACATATAAATTTCCTATGCTTTTCAGTAATTGGATTTTAAACCGCTAATTCGAATTCATAGCCCTATTGCTTTTTGTGTTTAATTCTGCAATTTAGAGCATGAACAGCTATTTTGTCTTATGTTGAAATAAATTGACAGTCATTTCATGTTAAAAATTATACCTTATCTTGACTAGTGCTTAAACATTCGACATACCTTTAATTGCATATTAGAGCCCATTGGTACCCGGAAGTTGTGGTACGAAAATAGGTATTTATGATGTGAGTAAGAAGCTAAATAGGCCCTCCTTTGTCAATTTTAATTATATGTAATATTATTCAAGAGAACTTTCAACAAGGGTTCTGCAGTGATCCAATGTCAGTTTGCTTTAATTTTTTACCAAATTTTCCAAAAATGTTGACTGGTCACCAAAAATGGTTCTTTACCTTTAAATGGATATATTTTGAAACAGTTTACGACGACAATGAGAGAACAACGAACAACAAGGAGATAACAACGGACGGCAAGTGATAGCAATAGCTTATCTTGCCCATGATAATCCCAAATGTCTTTGATAATTTACAGTCTATTATAGCGTTCGTTCTGTTTTATGTGTTTCCCCGGATTTGTTTCAGTAATATCTATTTATGAACAGGGGTATACTACTGTTGCCTTTATTTATGCCATATAAACATACCCTCAGTATTCTCAAAACAAATAATACAATAACCAGCTTCCTTGTTCATGTTGATAGAGGTGACACCTTCTACTCCAGCTTTTCTTTTGGTGTCAAAATAAAATTCAAGGTCACATTCCTTTGTCTTTTCACTAAAACCTTGTACTAATATGCAGTTTGAGACAATAACGGGTTGAATAATTGGGTAGACTCCATCAAACGATTTTTGTTCGCAAAGTGATTTTATTTCTTCAATATCTATAAAAGAGAACAATGAAGACAATATCAATTATTTCAAACTTATCTAAATTTACTTCAAATTAACCATATGATTGATTATTCTTCCTGCTGAATAATGTAATTGAGGATTCATGAATATTAGTGGGATGCCAGTTGTCATGAATTTTATCGGTATAGGTAAACCACAAAGTTAGATGTTCAACGAAGTATACATTTTTTAAAGACTGGTATACAGAGTTTGACATATCCACGAAGAAAACATCGACAGAAAATATCTATCCACGAAAATAAAAATATCAAAAGTAAAATCAATAGGCAAAGTCAAAACAAAATCCCGTGGTTTGTTTTACATTCCATACATAACATTTATAACATACATACTGTTTGAGTCCAACACAATGTTTTTAATTATTATTTCCTTCCTTGATTTCGTTTTAGAGTATCTACATGCCATTTTGTTTTTCTTTGTTGACATAGTTGTTTGTTTTTATAGTGATTAAGATTATAACACAATCTTGACTGCTTTACCCCAATTTTCGACATTTTTACATATTATGTCTTTTTGGTTTGCTGACACATTGTTGTAAATATAATGAAATTCTATGCGACTGTCATACAAGTGAGAGGTTTATCTCTGGCAACGCCATGGGAAAACAAAGCAACAACAAACAAAAAAAAAAGAAAAAACACCAAAAGACAAACAACACTATATAACAGACAACCTTGAAATGTTTTAACGATTACATTGTATTTATCAAGCTCTGGGTCGTAAATCATTTAACAGAGACAATCAAAGATATGTCATCAACATCATTTACTAAAATGTAAAACAACAGTCTAGCTGATTTTAGAATAGTGTAAAGGAAAATAACAAAAAAAAAACGAGCTCCAAGGAAAACGGAAAGTCTCTTTTAAAATGGAAAAATCAAAAGCTTAAACGATTGGAAAACAACTGTCATATTCCTGACTTGGTACAAGCATTTCCTTATGTAGAAAATGGTGGATTAATCCGGGTTTTAAAGCTTGCCAACCTTCTCACTTCTGAGACAGTACGGTTCTTTTTCCATTTTATTATAGATTTATTGCCATTCAACAATCGATACTGCAGGATTCAGAATATTTACATTGTGGCAAATTCTAATATGACGTTCTTCTATGGCTTTGGATACAAAGCCATGTTATAATTCCAATAAAACATGGGCTGCACGTGATTGACGTCACAATTGAAATTGCAACGTCAGTAGAATTTTGAACAACGCCGGAGATCAAAATGGACATTTTTGTTGGTGTTGCTCGCTAGGAAATGAAATAAAATCATTCTAAAATTAAGTTTTAATGTATCTGTTCATTTTTTATCGTTAAACTGTTGACTTTCTGTAACATATTTGGTTCACCAAATCAAAATGGCTGCCTTTCAAGCATGTATTACTTGTATTTCCTATCATGATTTCCTTGATAGAGGATTGCTGCTTATAAGGAAGCTATTAAACCAAGAGTTCCAAATGGTGAAGTTGAAATCATCCCTTCGTAAATTTTACGGACGCCATCACGAGTTGGTTGACCGTTATGGAATAACCGTTTCACAGATGATATCGGATATGTTCCTTATGTCGTAACTACAAAACCCTTCCCTTTTCACGAATGTGACATACCGAATAAGACTATTTACCGGATTTGAAATAACATAAGCAACACGACGGGTGCCACATGTGGAACAAGATCTGCTTACCCTTCCGGAGCACCTGAGATCACCCCCAGTTTTTGGTGGGGTTCGTGTTGCTTAGTCTTTAGTTTTCTATGTTGTGTCATCTGTACTATTATTTGTCTGTTTGTCTTTTTATTTTTGGCCATGGCGTTGTCAGTTTGTTTTCGGTCTATGAGTTTGACTGTCCCTCTGGTATCTTTCGTCCCTCTTTTACAAGTTCGCTTCGGAGTACAAAAGATTTAATTTTTTCTTTTAGAATCAAAATAATTCTCGCTTAGGCTCGGTATTAAGATATTGACAAATATAATGCCTACCCATGTTAAAATGAGCATATAGCATGGCTTGAAAGAATAATTTCTTAAACAGCTGAAGAGATGAAATAGATAGAATGCCCAAATGGTGTATAAAATATTTTTTGGTGTCCTGTAATAAAAGATATAAATCTTCTATATGAGGTAAAGCAATCACCAATCAATCAATCTATATGAGGGATCAATAATGTAGAAAATACAAACCTATTCCAACGTCGCTAAATGTAACAATTGCATTCTTTGTATCTTTCTCAACGACTTCTATATTTCGAACATTAAGTTTTGTTCTAGCTTCCATGAAATTGATGATATCATAAGTAGTGGTCTGTGAAGTGAAACCTTTCACTAAAACTTTATTCTGATAGAATCGTACGGGAGAATGTCTTTGTACTTGAAGTTTTTCGCCATCTATTATGTGATTTTTGTCCAAAACTCTCTGAACAGCTGAAGAATAATTGTGAAAAATATAAACATTACTTCTACTCTTCATAAAAATCAGCGGTATGAATTATATGCAATATTATACCGTGTTTGATGTATTTTATGTATAATGTTCATTATTTTATTCATCTTTTTCGTCCAAAGTTTAAGCTTTGATCTATCCATATGTAGGTTAATTTAGAAATGCATATCAGGAAACTAATATCAGGCGTTAAATTCGATTACTTACTAGATGATTATTAGGATATCAATTTAATATACAATATATAATACAAATGTAAGAAAATGTCAATTATTTTGCAAGTGAGTTAGAAACTGAGGAAGGGTGATGTTGACCAAGTTATAACTGAAATCTGTTTTTTTGTTTTCCTCTGTTATATTTTACTACACGGGATGGGTTTTGCTTATTGTTGAAGGCCGTACGATAGATGTAGTTTTTTTTTATTCGAGCGTCACTGATGGGTACTTTGTGGCCGAGACGAGTATCTGGCGTACACAATTTCAATCGTATTTATGATGACCTTATTTACATTCTCGTCCGTTGGTCTCTGTCAGAAAAGTTTTTCATTGGCAATCAAACCATATCTCCTTATTTGCCCCATATGTGACATGAAATTGCCATTAAACGAACGTTGTTTTTGTTACTATATTTATGAATAAGGAAAAGAAGTGTTCCAGTAGCAGTATGACATTATTCAATAAAATTAACATGGGGGTGGCATATTTATGTATTATAAAAGTTATGTTCGCATAATTCGTCGACATGATTTAGAGAATTGCCAACTTGAGGTTTCACTTTGTAAATACAGCTGTTTCTCAAACACCACGCCTCTTTTGGGGAGATTTTTATTATTCATAGATAATTAATTTTGTTTACGTACTGGTTCCCGGATATGATCTCTATATTTCATCTCGTATAGACATAACTTGGGAATGTTAGCAGTAAATATACATATTCATAGCGATAAAATTGAAATCTGTGGAAATCCAAAAGTCAAGGTAGGGGTAGTATAGAATTTTAATGTAAGTTTAAACTCTTAGAAGTTCGGGGCATATAAAAGTTGAAAATATGCCGCACAGCCCTGTATTTTGACCTTTGAAAAAAATAGTAGTGCATATGAACTTTCCATTCTAGGATATATATTTCTTCAAAACTTTATAGTAAAAGTGGTATAGTTTCAGCCGTGAAAGAAGTTCCTATGGGAAATTGCATTGTTGATATTTACAGAAATGCAACCTTGAGAATATGTGGTTTGAGTTAAAAACCAAATTCCGATCGATATTGATAAATATCAATTATAGGTCGGAACGGCAATCTCCATTTATTTCTGACAGTATTTTGATTTTGAAAAACGCCCTGGATGAAAATAATTGCATAATTTGCTTAGGTGATCTGAACAAAAATTTTATGTCAGATCTTCCGTCAATTATAAGAGATATTATTTTCATCAATGGCCTTATTAACATAAGTGACAAAGCTACTCATTTTGACACACGAACAGGTAGCACGTTTTAGATAAGGACACAATACCTTTTGATATAGGTATTAGTTGTCATGATGAGACATACGTCACAATTGATTGTGGTTTTAGTAAAAGACGAACTTATAATAGATTGATATGGGATTATAAAAAAGGTGATTATGACCTATTGAAACAAAAAGTAGTTGAAACAAATTGTGAATATTTAATTTCTGATGCAAGTGACGTTCATGTTGCTGCTACTAATTTCACTAACTCATTTCTTAATATAGCATCCGAGTGTATACCTACAAGGAGAGTAACTATAAGATGTGACGACAAAGTTTGGTATCACTCGAATTTGCGGCGTGAAACGCGAAAACTCGACAGGCTTCGTAAATTTTTTATTCGCTCGAATAATACATCCGCAGAAAAGAAATATAAACAACAAAGGAACAAAGTTAATAACTTGAAAAAGCAAGCTAAAAAACATTTTTATACCAGTATTAATGAAAATTTAGATGAACTAAAAGTGACAAACTGGAAAACTGGTAACATGTAAAGTAAAAGCGATATACCGTCTCATGATTTTCCTCCCATGACGGACCCGGATCAGAACTTTCAACTTGCGTACGAGGGATCCGAAAGGTCCGACATTTTATATAAATATTGTTGTTTAATTTTTAATTAAGATGGCGCTAGTAAAGATTTGCCGGAATTTGAAGACCGATGTCTAGAGTTTCTTTCACAAATTGTAGTTAGTGAACAAGATGTACTTGATATTGTTTCAACGCTCGATGTTAATAAAGCTGTTGGACCAGATATTGTTAGCAATAGAATGTTACTTGCTGTCAGAAATGAAATTTTCAAACCATTATGTCTACTTTTTAAAAAATCTTTAAATGATAGAATATTTCCAGACCAATGGAGAATTGCACATGTATTCCCTTATTCAGAAGTGGTGACAAGTCATTTCCTTCTAACTACAGGCCTGTCTCCTTATTGGCATGTGTTATGAAAAGTATTAGAAAAAATTGTTTTCAAAAATATTTTTAACCATTTACATGAAAATAAACTGTTGTACAAGTATCAATCCGGATTTATTCCAGGATATTCAACTTCGCATCAATTGATAGAATTGTATAACAAAATTTTGATAGCACTAAATGAAAAGCTTATAACAACCATTACATTTGCTGATATACGCAATGCATTTGATACTGTTTGGATTAAGGCTTTATTACATAAACTTGAAAAATATGGTATAATGGGAGACTTGCTATGTTGGTTAAAAAGTTACTAGTCTAGACGATATCAGAGAGTCGTCACAAAAGATTCATTATCAAATCTTGGAAAACTAAACTCTAGTATGCCTCAGGAGTCGGTATTAGGGCCTTTGTTGTTTTTAATATACATAAATGATATAGCTGATGGTATGTCTTGATTCGGAAGGCTTTTTGCAGATGATACTTCAATAGGTCATACTGCACCTGATGAATTCACTTTAAAAAATTCAATTAGTAGAGATCGTGATTATTTGAGTAAGTGGCCAGAAAAAAGGTGAGTGAAAACCTAATAAAACTGATATTATGATATTCATTTTGAAAAATATATATATAGTGATATTAATTTTGATTTTAGTGGTGCTACATTAACACCAGTTAGTGCGCACAAACATCTAGGTGTCATATTTAGTAATGATTGATAATGGAATAAGCATGTTGATAAACTGATCGAGAAAACTACGAAGCAGCTAAATGTTTTACGCAAACTAAAATTTCGACTAAAAATGGAATATTTGGAAAAAATTATATGATTTCTATTCGTCCGATACCTGAGTATTCATCAGAAGTTTGGGATAATTGTGGGAAAATAAATTCTGATCAGTTAGAAAATATTCAAATCGAGGCTGCTCGTATGGTTACTGGATTATCAAATTATGCTAACCGCAACGCTATTTACAGAGAGACGGGATGGGAAAAATTGAGCGTAAGGCGGGAGGTAAAAAATTGGTTATGTTTTATAGATTTATTAACAATCAGCCTACAGATTATGTACAGGACTTGGTTCCAGAATCTGTATCTGATATTAGTAATTATAATTTGCGAAACAGACACAATATCACTATTCCAGTGAATCGTTTATCGGTTTATCAACAGTCTTATTTCCCAGCCTCCATAACATTGTGGAACACTTTAGACATCATTATTAGACAGATTCCTACATTTTCATTATTTAAAAGCAAATTGCATATGTTATAGTATAAGAATAAAAAACCTCCGATATATTTTTGGAGATCGCTTATTATCTGTATTAACCGCAGGGCTGCGAAACCGGTGTAGCACTATTCTATCTGATTTTTTTAATGCAAACTTAGTACAAGATGCATATTGTTTATGTGGCTTTATCAATGAAGATGCTAAACATTATTTATTATATTGTAACAATTTTTCTGCACAAAGGCATTTAATGATAAATGAATTCAACGTATTTGCTGTCAATACTACAATTGATGTATTGCTATCTGGTGATGAGTCTTTGACGAAAATGATAACGTTTTTCTATCTGTACAAAAGTTTATAAAAAGTACCAAGCGTTTTTCTCAACTTGACAACCTTATTTCTGTAACAGATCTTATTTGAATATGACTAACTTATGCTCTTAGGGATATGATAATCGAATGATCTTTATGATTGACTATTGTTATCGGAAACGTTTCAACGGATTTAATTAAAGAAACAAAATTGATACTTACAATTATGTGTAGATTTATTCCGTTTTTCATCTTAATCCGTCACAAGAAAAGAGACTTAATATGTATCCCATCATAAACTATTAGTGTGTAATTTGCATTTAAAGCAATTCACACACATGACTTGTCATGTACACTAACATATTTTTATATTACACAACTCGGTGTGTTTATATTTATTTATTCTGAAAATAGACGCACTAGATTAGTTATATTTACTGAAAAAACCCATTGACTCGATTTTTAAAATTTCTATGTAATTCATTTTTATATCTTCATACTAAAATAATAATTTGTTAAAGCCAGATATATCTAATGTTCATTCATGTTTATATTTATGTATGTATTGGAGAAGATATTACTAAGTTGAAAAACTTGTGTCTTATCCGTTTGTCCTTTTTGAACAATAAAAAAATGTTTAAACTAATAAAATTAACATATCTCGGATGACAAGACATTATATTTGGTAATCAGAACTTAAATTAAAAAAGTCCGACGAAATAATAGACTTAGCTAATATATATTTTTCAGACAGATCAAACTATATACTAATCCGTTATAATCTTCAAATTCAGATGATTCAAATGTAATCGGTTATTCACAATCTTTACCATCACAAATAGTATAAATACAAAAAAAAAAACAATCAAACAAAAACACTTGTATATTCAATTTACAATTTGTATCCCATTAAATATTGAACTACCCTTTTGGAACAATACATCAAGGAGCGTGTGGCTATTTAAAAATTCACGAAAGTCTGAAATTATTCTAAATCATGAAATCAAGGCTGCAGTAGGTAACTGATGTTCAAAACTCGTCAATCGATTAAAATCAGAAGATTTGGTGGTAACCTTAAATTTGAATTGTATAAAAAGTAATATACACAACTAGAATTATGTGCTTTAATTTTAATTTGATGTATTGATAGTGACCTTTACCGTCTGACAATAAAAGATGAGGGGTTACACATTGTCAACTGTGTTTCTTCCTTGTTTCTAACACGTGACGCTGACCTACCAATTGTAGGAACACCATCACAAGATAGCACTCACAGTGACGCAAAAATTCCAAAGGAAACAAAAATTGCACACATATAAATTTTCAGTAATGCACAAAATAGCAGACCTATTAATTTTCCATTAGATACAAAGTTACATACATATAAATCTTCACATGGTACAAAATGTCATAAATATAAATTATGTTATAGTACGACATGATGTACATATACATTTTGAATGGTACGAACAGGTAATGATATGAGTTGGTTTTTGTTATGGATCCGTAATGACTTTAATTCCCTATCCACACTGAAACAAGAATCATACGTTTGTAAAAGGGCATCGGCATTCATAAAAAAAATCTATAACTATAGCTTTGATCAATTCATATTTATAGAGAAACTAAGAACAGTACACCCATTTCTGACAAAAGAGGGACGAAAGATACCAGAGGGACAGTCAAACTCATAGATCGAAAACAAATTGACAACGCCATGGCCAAAAATAAAAAGACAAACAGACAAATAATAGTACAGATGATGAAACTAAAGACTAAGCAACACGAACCACACCAAAAACTGGGGGTGATCTCAGGTGCTCCGGAAGGGTAAGTATTAGATACAATACAAGGGTAACAAAGAAACAGGCCGGTAACAACCGTTGCCGGATAGTTTTTCTGCACGAGTAGTCAGGTCAAGGTCCGAGGCGCTAGCCGAGGACCTTGACCTGACTACAAGTGCAGACAAACTATACGGCAGGTTGTTTCCGGCCTATTTTTTGTTACCTTTGTTTTGTATCTGACTTGTACGACGTTTCAGGAAGGAAGTAGTACATTTTGCATTTAGAAGAGGTAGCAAAACTAAACATATTAGAAACTTCAATGGCCATATACCAGTTAATGTAAGTTACAGTTTAAACACATTTTTTTTTCACTTCCCTTAAGCCGAGAATTTTTTTTCTAAAAAAAATTCAAGAATTTAATAACTTTAAAAAAAAAGAACCATTTCAAGGAAAAGATGAATGTTGTTTACATTTATCCATTTAAAATAAACAGAACTGATATTAAGTGAATGAAATGTTATGAAAAACTGGATTTTGTCTTGTTATTTGATATATATATATATATATATAGGCATATATTTTGGATTTTTTTTTAATAGTTCATACATATAGGGTTTTTTTTTAAATGCCTCTGATAGTGTTGATCAGGATTTAACACGTGTCACTATATGATCCAATCGCAGCTTATCGTTCAAAATTGATGACATTGGTTGAATGATTTTTCTTCATGATTTGCTGCATATTTGAACATGTATTACATGGACACTTTTTATTTATAGGATCAATCGTGCATTGGTGAGTTGATAGGGATTTTATCTTTTGATTAGATTTGATTTTTTTATATATATTTCCTGTCTTTTTTATTGAAATATAAACGTTGGTACCAGCATTTCTTTACTTTCAGCATTGTCAACAATACTATTCATGTCCATATATGTTGAAGGTAAAAAAAACACTTACGGACCGACCATTTAGCTTCAAAAGGGGGTATCTTCTTTTCTGAGTAAGAACATTATTTATTTTTTCAACGCTATCACCCAGCTATTTTCATTTTTTTTTCGAAATTAGACGATTATATACGGTATACGGAAAATCGGGAATCAGAACATTATTTTGTCATCTGCTTGACCACCAATATATTTTTTCTTATAAAATTGGGTATCAAAATATTTTTTAGAAAAAAGACATACCCCCCTTTTTTTTAAAGTTAAATGGTCAATCCCTTAGTGTACTGATATGAATAGTAATTTACTGGAATTGTTTGAAATATAGTTATTGATGCTAACGTAAATATTTTAATCAAAAAGACAGGAAATATGTCGGTGAAACAAAAAGTTCAAATCTAATTGAAATTTACAGTGCCCATGAACTCTCTGATCATGCACGAGTGATTCTATTCATAAAAAGTGTCCGTGTAACAACTAAAAAGTGTCCGTGTATCATCTAAAAAGTGTCCGTGTAACACCCGTTAATGTACTGTTTTTCTATAGCTCTGCTGGGGGTAAAGTCGTACAAGCAGATCCTGCTCCACATGTGGCACCCGTCGTGTTGCTTATGTTATTACAAATCCGGTAAATAGTCTAATTCGGTAGGTCACATTCGTGAAAAAGGAAGGGTATTGTAGTTACGACATAAGGAACATATCCGATATCATCTGTGAAACGGTTATTCCATAACGGTTAACTAACTCGTGATGGTGTCCGTAAAATTATTATAATAATGGAATATTGCTACATAGAAATGGAAAGTTCACAATTGGGAAGCTGAAATCATCCCTTTTGTCGTAAAGTTTTGTTTTCAACCGACCCTCATTGTCAATTTCTAGATGTAAGTCAAGATATGAGGCAGACTTAACTGTATCTGTAGTATCCTTTATCTCTAGTTCGATGGGATAGATTCGTTCAACATAGTCCCCAAATTTTGTATTATTTAGTGAGAGAAAATCATCTATATAGCGGAACGTAAAGTTAAAGGATATTGCTAACTTTTTATCTTTCTTCCTAAGAAGTTACTGTATGAAGTCAGCCTCATAATAATAAAGAAACAAGTCGACAAGAAGAGGGGCACAATTGGTTCCCATCGGAATTCCGACAGTCTGTTGAACAACACGTCCTCCAAACGTAACAAATATGTTGTCAATCAAGAAATCAAGCATCTTGATAATGTCGGTTTCAGAGAATTTTTTGTTTGAATCAGAGTGATTCTTTACAAAGTAGGATTTATCCCTCCCCAAGACAAGATACTTGTATCTACGTTCGCCATTCTTCTTAATGAAACGAAGAAATACCAACTCTTTCAATTTGTCTTTTAGTTTGGAATGGGGAATACTTGTTTAAAGTGTAGAAAAGTCAAATGTTTTAATACTATTGCAAGATGAGAGAGTCTTAGATTGTATGTACTCTAAAAGATCTTTGGAATTTTTTAGTATCCACATCTGATTCACGCCACCTCTAGAATAGGCAGTTTCACAATAACTTTGGAGCCCGGCTTTGATTGCTGATAAAATAGATGTTAATAATTTAGAAAGAGGTTTCGTGGAGCACTTGGAAGACCCAGCAATATACCGTTGTTTGTAAGGACACTTATGTAGTTTAGGTATCCAATACAGTGACGGAAGATCCAGTTCTTCATCTTTGGTTGAAATTCCAAAGGAACATAGAACAGACCTATGATTATCCAGGATTTCCGATTTGGTAAGTGTCGTGAGGGTATATGTTGAGTTTCCAACATATAATAATCCATAGAATTCAGTAGCACTGAAGGACCCCAAGGGCTTGAAACAAAACATACAAATGACATAAAAAAATAATCATATGATTTCATATAGCAGACAAATTGACCTCTATAAATTATTTGTGTTGTTGGATTGCTGTCTAATATATTTACTGGTTTTTTAATGTTTCGAATCTCATAAATTGTATGAAAAGTCAAATATGTACCTTGTTCGTCTTTTAATGTAATAATATACATGTTCTGGTCCTTGAAAAATTCTATATTGACGATGTTATCATTAGCCCCCTTTCTTGACGCAAAGTAACACGAAATGCTATTCTGTGTTGTATTTGCATGCATTCCCTTCACTTCCACTGCATTTGTGGTTTCCACTTCATTTGTTTTTCTGTTTTCAGGTAGATACTGCTCTTCACAATCGGTCATTACATTTGGAAAATAGGCCTCGACATCAACATTTTTACCATAGAAAGTAATTGGTATTTTTTTCAATATTATGCCAACAGCTGGAACAAACAAATGAATAATTTATAAACATAGATAACCTCATCACCAAGAACTATTTACACAAATCACTCTGTTGTTTTGTCTCGTTTGAATTGCTTTACATATTGTCATGTGGGGTACTTTTACAGCTTACTATATGGTATGGGTTTGGCTCATTGTTTACGGCCGTACTTTTAATGATTTTAATCGTTTTATATATAAAGCGTATTAAACATTCGATCATGGATGTAATTTATGCAGGATATTCAATAAACACGTGTTTTGCGCATTGAAATTCAAAGTTCGAAAATTTCCAACTGATTTTTACAGTTCGTTCTGATGTTGTACTGTTACATCACTGTCTCATTTTAGGAGGGGAATGAAAACCCATAGACATGTTCAACCCCGCCACATTCGTTATGTGCATTTTCTTTGTCACGGGCCTGTTGAAGGCCGTACAGTGACAAGGTAGGTTACATCCACGTCATTTGGACTCTTCTGGATAGTTCTACACATAAACAAGCATATCACATGTCCTTATGTTTACATAAGGTCTAGCGAAGCAAACTGTTCAAGTGTTGCCAGACAACAGAAATAGTTTGGACCAACCTGTCATTATCGTCATACCATCACAAACGAAAAGAGATTTTTAGCTTAATTTTTTTTTTATCAACAGATGTCAGACACTTTTATCCGTTCCATTTTAAGCATATTGAATGTTATTGTGAGAAAATATATCATAGAATACAAAATTACCCTGCATTTATTTCAAAAACAGACTCATTTTGAAATAGTCTTTCATCGTTTACTTACATTTACAGTATGACAGCTTTATATTTGTGATTTTGATGTTCTAACAATATAATGTCGTATATCGGAATTGTATATATCATGACATGTCATTTACCATTTTATTAACATGTTCCGATATCTTGTTGTTTGCATTACTGTTCAAAACATCATTAATTTTCATGTTAAACATGGTGATTATTTGCAACATTGCATAATTCTGAATAATAGTTTAATTCCATTGCTATATCAGAAATGTGAAAGAGTTGACAACTATTTTTTTAAGTTTAAACTAACTTTCAAATGTTGAACATATGATACAAAAAAATACTAAGGAAGCTAACATACCACTTTCATTTTCATTAATCTGATTGTTTGTTTACAAAGGTATTAGAAATTTGACCTCATAAGTCAGTACAAGAAGAGCATTTAGTATATTTTTCTGTAAACATATATAACAAAAATACCTTCTTTCTCATGAAAAGTAACGATGGCTGACTCTGTATTTTTATCAAGTTCTACCTCACTAACTTCTCCACCGCCATATTTCCTTTTGTTTTCAAAGAAAAATCTTATACTGTCTTCACTCGCTTCTTTGGGCAACTTTGTAATTTTTAACATCTCTGTCGCAACTGGAGTAATCAGATCTTAAATAGACCAAATAAAAAGATAACAATAACACTTGTGTTTGTGAAGTGAACTGAACAGAACCTTAATCTTTATCAATTTGGATTAGTATGCAATGTATAAGATGATCAAAAATTGGTATTCAATAGTTCGACCATTTTAATAAAATATATTAACGTTGAATTCTTTGTTTACCACTTTGATAGTGTCATTAAGTCATTAACATTCGTATGGTATTATAAACATAAAGTAATATTGAATTAAATATATCTATAAGCTACTGATGGTATACATATCTCAGTTTAAACTACATATACTTGTATGGCTACCAAAACCTCAAACGGAATTAAAGCGCAAGAAATTAAGTGATAATTCGAACAATTTACTACTTGAAACTTCTCGACAAAGACCCGTTAAAGTTTGAGTATGCCTTCATAATTCCTACCCTTGTCGTCTGCAATTGTTTGCACTGCTTTATCACACACATCACCGGTGGCTAGAACTTGATGAAATAGTTTATGAACACATGTAATGTCTGCTTCATTATTAATCTTGTACTCTGCCCAATCTAAAAATAATCACGAAATGGTTAGTAAAACAGCAAAGAACAAGCAGAACGAACGAATGAATATATATTTAATTAAACTAGTATACAATATCTACTACAAGCTTTATAACAAATAAGATAAAGGGAGATGAATAATGTCTATATTCATCAAATATTTTTAACTTCCTGATTTAATATTAATGAGATGTGGTAAGGTTGCCAATGAGAACACTATCCACCAGAGTTCACATGCAGGTGTTAACAGGTTTGAATCATCATACAGCCTTCAACATGGAGTAAAACCATACCGTATAGTATAAAAATCTGGATATGGCTAAAACAATACTGAACTAAAACATTGCAAACGAGAAAAACAACGGCCAGATTTATGCTAAATCAAATATCAAAATCATCACGACTACCACTTTATCTCAGGTTAATGACAATGGACAGGCACACACATTTTTTGAGCAGACCAGCCCGCTCCCTAATCTGGGAAAGAGTGTTTAATCACAAAAATAGATAAAATGACAAAGCCATGGAAAAAAGAGAAAAAGAAAAACGACCAAAAGACAAACAACAGTCTACAAAACACAACGAACATATCCTGCTTCACATGTTTCACCCGATTATTTCTATAATGTCTCATTAGAGGAAATGAGGATGGGATTGTGGTTACGACAATTGGACCATATCTGTCGTCAGTAGTGTACAGATAATCCATAACGATCAACTAACTTGTGATGGCGTTCGTTAAATTTTCAAAGGGATGACTTCAACTTCACTACTTGAAACCTTTGGTCAAATAGCTTCGTTGTAAGCAGCAACCCTCTTTAAAAGGAAATCATGATAGGAAATGCAAGCTCTGGAGTATCGTATCGTATCAACTTCGATATGTATGCTCCATTTAAAGTGCTGCTGGAATGTTGCTACTCATGAACGGAAAATTCACAATTGGGAAGCTGAAATCATCGGCTTTGTAATAATACAATAATTGAATCAATTTTCTACATACCTGCAGGCTCTTTGTTCAGTATATTGATATTGACCTTGACAACTAATGGTACACTTGTATTGATGTTGCATATGTCAACAAACGAATCCAGAAATTGTCGAACGGAAGCTTTAAATTTCTCCTCGTCCTTAAGAAAATCGACAGGCACTGATGTTCCAATCGTGATAGAACCACGTTTGACAACCTCTATTTTATATGGAGACCACATATTTACGGTTTCAACAGTACTTTGTAAGGTCGTTTCAATGGATTTCTGTAAAGTTTGTATTATTTTGTCTCGTTCTTTTTCTAAAATGCCATGTGTATTAATTGTCCATTCTAAGCAACGTTTTGGACAATCTGAAGTGATAAAATAAAATGTATCATCTAATTTTTACAATGTTCGTTTATTTCGTTAATTTGGAATAATTGAACGCAATTTTTTAGAAGATTTTTTAGATATCAGAAATATGATACGCTTCACGTGCGTATCCGAAAAACATATACATATTAGTAATATAATCATATGCTTTTTTAGTTTCCTATAAGAAATAAGATTTTATTCTTGCCCGACACAATGTGGTTGAAATAAACCAACATAAGTGTGATTTGTTTTGTTAGTTTGTAGTTATTAACTTGTAAATAATTTACCTTAGCTAATTAAAGCACAAAAAATAACAAGAATGTTTAAAATTTGTTAATCTTTTCAAGTTTTATTCCCCTTATCCCCATCTCCCTATTTTATTTTCAGTTTATCTCAAATTCTTCTAACATTTCTACGTATTTATAAATCCCTGTCTTTCAAATGTTCGGGTTGGAGCGTTCCTGATAAATTGCAATTCCAGAAAGCGCTTCAAACACACGATTTAATAAAGTGTTATTTTCATTTACGAGAGTAAAGAGTAAAACTCGTAATTGTAATGCAAATGATGCAGAAATGGAAATCCAATAAACAATACGATCATGAAATTGTCGTATCTTTTAAAAGCACATCTTGCAACAATATTTATGGTTAGACCAATTGTTGATAACACTGATAAATTCATTATGAAAATAATGATAAAAGGATGCCATGTGGCGTATATTTTTGAGGGCCGAAAAGAAGTTTGTTAAACATGTTTTTTTTACTCTACACGACTACCTTTGTATATTGCTTTGAGTTTGTAAAAGAGGGACGAAAGATACCGGAGGGACAGTCAAACTCATAGATCGAAAACAAACTGACAACGCCATGGCCAAAAATAAAAAGACAAACAGACAAATAATAGTACAGATGACACAACATAGAAAACTAAAGACTAAGCAACACGAACCCCACCAAAAACTGGGGGTGATCGCAGATGATCCGAAAAGGTAAGCAGATCCGGTTCCACATGTGGCACCCGTCGTGTTGCTTATGTTATTACAAATCCGGTAAATATTCTAATTCGGTAGGCCACATTCGTGAAAAGGGAAGGGTATTGTAATATGCTATGGTGCACCTTACTGCACAGAAGGAGAAATAAACGCAATCTAAAAAATGCATTCTTGTACACAGATACATTTTATATTATATGTGATGTATGCAATGTGTATCCAATTTTTTTTTTATTAATATCTTGTCAATACTATTAACCTATGCCTTCTATTCCTAGGTTAAAAAATTCTGTCGGACTAGTTCTGGTGTTTCCTTTGCCTGCGCTTGCTTCCATGTCTGAAATAAAGGCTGTACAAATAACTAAATAGAAAAATTTAGATTTTAATTCATTTGAAATTTTACTTAATAATTTCAAACTGTTATATATACACTTTTTCAAGGGTTGTATTTCAATTGATGTTTTCTGTTAATAGAACATACATTCTGTACGGATACATGTAGACTGTTCCATTTTAATGAGCCAGAAAGAAAACAGTTGATTCTATCTTTATATCAAAATGAGACGGAAGATACAAAAGGGAATATCATAACTCATAAATCGAAAAAAACAACCTGCCAATGCCACGGTTAAAAAACATAAAAGGACTAAAAGATAATCAACAATCTCCTAATACTAAATAGAAAAGCAAGGACTTAGCAACACGAACCCAACCAAAAAAATGAGATAGATAAGATCAAATATTTTTGAAATTTGATAATGCACTTTATCGCTATTTTGTGTATTTTTCCTTTGATTTTTTTTTTGCGATAATTTTTCATATCATGCTACTCGCTTGAGACAGAAAATTGTCGTCAGAAACTAAGAGCGCACGTGCCGTTGTCAACGTAAAAATTAACGACTTCATAGGCAAAATAGCGATAAACAGATTATCAATGGTCTTTCAAACTCGAGGATGTTTCTCGGCCACATCTCAACTCAGGGCTGTCTCCCTTCGATGAGATTGTAGCTGAGAAACACCCTCTCGTTTGAAAAACCATCGATAATCTATAAATATGCATATAAATTTTTGAAAGTAAGAACTCCTAAAATTGCAAAGAATTAATTGATCGCAATACAACAAAAAAGTTATCTCATCACTCGCCTTTTCCGTTCTCATTTGTTCCTTCTTCGGAAGACCACTGTATATCAAATTGAAGTGCATTTCTATGATGTATCATGTTTCCTGTAAAAAAATAAATGTATATATTGTTAAATATTTGAGAATAATGTTTTTAACTAATGGAACAGCATTGCCTATAACGTTCATTTAAATTAGGTAACGCCACAAATGTCAAGGCATTAATTCCACGATTAAAAGAGTAAAGCTGTGCATGAGAGCACAGACGTACTGCGACTATTTTAAAATGTATTGTTTACATTTATAGCAGGAGTTTATTTTCAATTGCATTGAAGCGAGATAGCTGTATACATTCCCATCATTTTGTCTCTGGTGGATAGTTGTTTCATTAGCAGTTATACCTAAAACTTTTGTAATTATTAACACTGATCACTCGCCAACATACTAAACACCGCCATATTCTTCATGTAAATGTCCCAAGGAACCTGTAGTCCAGTGATTTTCGTTTGTTTCTGTCTAAATTTGATTTTCGTTCAATGCTGTAACATCAATCTACAAAATGGTGAAGAACACACCTATTTTATTGTCGAAATAATTTTCGGTTCACCTACTTTGAAGGCCTGTTACGAAATGCAGAATAACAAAAATATCGAACTCCGAACTCCAAGGAAAATTCAAAACGGATATTCCCTTACCAAATGGCAAAATCAAAACCTCAAACATATAAAACGAATGGAAAACAATTCCGACAATAGAAATAGGCGTGTTATACACTATTTTGTAGATAATTTAATGCAGATTTACGACATAACAAGTTTCAATGGGATAGACAACCGCAGAGTCAATATATAGCGGAAGTTTGCGACCGGGTGACATTTCTCAAATATAGGAGTTAGGTACCTTGTGTTATATTAAAGTATATAGGTAAAAAAAAATAAAATCAGAGACAAGTGCTTCTGATTATAGCAGCCAATATTTGGATATTCAGACTGATCGAGTAGTAAAATCCTTGAATCCTCGAATCCTTTAAAAAATAGATTACTTTTTTATAAAGTAATAGGATTATTTAATCTGGTCAAGTAATAGAATATAGTACAGAAATGTATATGTGTAGGCCTTCATCAGACTTTTAACACGATAAAATAACCGTACCTCGTTTTACTTCATCGTAAATTAAATGTAAAAGTTGTTCGTGTTCTTGCTGTCCTTCTTCCATAGCATTTAGGATTTCTTGTTTGTTTTCATCGCATTTCTGTCGCAAGCTATCTAAACGACTTCCAAATACTTCAAGATCTATAGACTACAAAAGAAGGCGATTAGTGGAATAAGCAAGTGTTCTAAAATGTTTCATGCTAAATATGACAAAACGAATATGGAGACTAAAATATGTTGATTAAACATAGATGATCCCGCCTGCATACAATATTCCAAAACCAACCGAATTAAATGCTAAGATTTGCTATTAGTGAAGGCAATTTTAAATATGATGTCGACAATTAAATAAGAAATTGCAAACTCTCCTTGCAACTTCTTACTGATAAAAGTCAAACAATGTGATATCGATCTCATTACACGACGTTTCTTTCTAGAATAAACTTCATCGAGTAGACCGGAGGTTGAATGTTTTAAAATTGAAACAGATAGTTATAAAACTTTATTAAATCCCATGCCATCTCACATTTTCGTACCTATTACCAGCCAAAAAATAACCTATCCTATTTGTGATTGTCAAAAACAATATAAAACTATGCTATTATCTGTTGAATAAAAAAACAAAATAATATATCAATATTTTTTGTTCAATATCAAATATTTAATCAGATCTGGTCATAATAATCTAAGGAACAAATGTTTTCGTTTAAGGCTTGTTTTTTATCCACAAGTCTGAACATGTTATCAACTTACCTTATCTAATTCTGATTTTATCGTCTGAATTTCCGTTTTTATAGTTTGTATTATTGGCTGAATATCATGCAAACCATAATCAGCAACTTTCAAAAGGTCTATCTGCATTTCAATGTTTTCTTTATAATCAGGTATTTGTGATATATCTGAAGCCAAACCAAGAACGGCACCTTGTAGATATCCCCACATTGTTTGTATATCGCTTTCGGTCCACTTGGTTAAACTGTCCACATGACATAATTCGTTTCTTTGTTTGATAATCATAGTTAGCCATGTGGCATGCTTTTGGTGTTTTTCATCTTTTAAAGCACTCCCGTTTAAGACTGAATATATTAAGGAAAGGTCGAGGTCTTGTAATGAACATTCATTCCTAACCGTTACGCCACACATGCACTGTTGGGTTGCATGACTTCCACTTTTCTTATAGTGTTTGGGATTTGACCGGTCAATCGAGTACATCTGCAAAAGTTGTGTCATTGTGATTCTACAAGTAGCTTTTAACGTTGTATGAGTTGTAACACACTGACAACATTTAACATCCACAGCCAAATGATATAAAGTGTGTTTGCAGATTTCGAGATAAACGGAAAAATCTTTGTTATATTCCGTACAATCCAGTACATTGTAGACAAAAAAAGTTCGGATTACGGGCAAGGCAAGTTTATGTGCAAACATAAACAGTTGAAGGAATTTTCTTTCTTTATCAATGCTCATATTTCTAAAAAATAAAATAATATAAATAAACAATAAAGTATTTACATGATGCGAATTTAAAGTAACATTTCAGAATCTGCTTCACTTGCCTCAAAACATACAGTACCTACTTAATTAGATACACTAGGACGTACTCACAACACTATTCACAATGTACTTGTTTTCTCTGCTTTACATGCATTGTTGTTTTGTTGATAATCATATCACATCTCTTTAAATTTTGTTTTCATATTGGGGGTGATCTCAGGTGCTCCGGAAGGTTCAAACTATTAATTAGAAAACTGATGTTTATCATACAAAAATATATATAAAATAATATCAGACGCACTGCTTGACCAACAAGACTTTAATTACCAAAATCTGTTTATTTGTGATAAAAATTTGCACATTTGATTTTATGAAGCAAAATTCCCAATTTCCTTTTTAAATGCTAAAGATGCCAATTTCGTTTTTCCCGATACATTACATCGCAGTCAAATCATTTTCAATCAAACATTGTCGTCCAAGTATTCCCGTGATCCATTACATCTTTAGCTATTTATGGGAACTTTTGGGTTGAACTGTAGCCAGTAATAATCTATTCAAAGCTATATGCCTGCAGTAGATTTGATGTGCTTATACAAATGATAGTCAGTTTTTCTTTACAACATAATTTACCAGTGTAAAGGATGAATATCATAACTTACCAGTTTTAATACCTTTTATCTAATTGGCAATGTCACGACAGAACGCCTAAAATCTGATTGTTTATTACCTGCCCTGCTTCAGATTCGTATGCCTTTATAATTTTAAACTGAAAGGCATACAACTTAGTAGTAAGGGTAGATATAACTTCAAATCAAACATTTAAGCGGTAAGTAGAAATACATTGATTTGACACATTAATCCAGAACAAGATTAGATGTGCGGGCTATCATTTGATAAAGTACAGTCATTACATTTACTTTATATGAACATAATTACCAGATTTATATGAAAAGCCTTTATGTATTACCTTATTTAACTTGCTTGGATCCTCTTAAAGTAAAGTTATCTTTTGCATTTTCACAACGATGCATTGATGTAAACATGTTACAAACATGTCTTCATTTCCCATTCTACTTGTTGCCATCATACGAGTTATGCGCATGTGTACAGGTATTTTAAAAATAGAACTGTTATCAATTGTGTAGTTTGTTTAGTATACAATCACAAAAACGCGAACTTATTTACATGGAAATGGCCAACATACAACACATGGTTTATCATAATTTATAAACAACTGCAAATGAGAGTTTATTTTGATTTTTCTAATGTCAATAAATATGCAATGACAAATTCACAGGATCAAGGTATTATAATATAATATTATCCTTGTGTTTGCCTTTATAAACAACTTGGGCAGACTTTCGCGAACGTTGTTTTAATATATCGCTATCGAAAGTTTGTCAAGTTGTTCCTCTGTGGCACAGACCATTCATCCTTTTAATATGAAGGTGAAGAGGTACAATTTTTTTTTATTTTGGAAAAAACATTTTTTCATATTTAATCAAAAATATATTTCTTTTCACATACACCAACAAGAATTAACAAATATTTTTTCAACAAATTTAGAATTCAACAAAATAAATGATCGGTGCCATAACATCGTTCTAAATATGTTTTGTACCATTCTCACTACATCGAAAATGCTCTTCTAAAATGTGATAAGAGTATACTAATCCAGCTGTGTCGATCAGGAGTGGAATCCTTTGGAATTGGAATAACGTCCTCCTAATTTCTTTTATTTTCAACACTCATACAATTCCTGTATTGCACACCTTCCTGCTTTACAAATTTCTTCATAAATTTTCAACAACAATTCTCAAAATTTCTTCTCCTTTCGCTCTATTGAAAGATCGATTACAAACATCTAAGGAGCCTGCATAGCTACCTGGTATGTTTGCATAACATTGATATGAAACTTGATATGTATGTATAGCGTCCGGCAAAAGAGCAAAAATGGGTAAAATATTCATTAAAGGGGAATAATTCAAATAAAGATACTGCTGATGATTTATGACATTAATTTTGTTCATAGATCGTTTTGTTTGTTTTGCTGTTCATTTTAGTGTTTTACCGTTAACTCAATCAGTTTTTGCTTTAACACACAAAAGGATAAAAATTGTCATTCAAGGATAAGCACTCAAATAAGGAGTCAACTTACGATTTCGGGCTTTTTGACTTATTTGTAGTTATCGTCCTTCTGGTATTTATCTATTTCAATTTCTGTCAGTGTACTATACAGCTATAGTTATCGTGCAAAACACAAACATTGATAACAATAATCATACCATGGCAATTAGTCCTACAGGGATCGACTAATGATTTCAATCATATGATTTGTTTTTTAGATATTGTTTTTATTGTTTCTGTTTTTTACAATTTCTTTGTATCTACTACAGTTTCCATAAAAAAAGAAAAATGAGTAAAAAAAACTGTCAGTCAAGAGCAATAACTTGTACTAGGATTCGACTAATTATTTCAGCCATGTTGACTTATGAGTAGATATTATCTTGTTGATTATTTTTGCTTTACAGTTTATCTTTATCAACTATAGTTCCTTTAAAAAGGAAAAAAATAGGACTAACATCGTCATTCAGTTAAACAGTGGTTGTAATCATGTTCATAGTTGTTTTCCGTTAATTGTGTTGTCATAAATCATGCCAGTAGTTTAATCGTTTGAATTATTTCACATTTTTTTCATAAGATTTCGTAAGAAAAAAAAATCCCCAAAAACGATAAAAAGCACAATTCAATGGCAATTAGTCCCATAAGAAGTCGGCTAATAATGTCATGTAAAGGTGATAACCCCTTTAAGATATCGGCTGACTTTTTGTTTCTTTTTTATAGACTGTTAAAAGATCTTGAAATTCCGGAAAAGTCTGTCTCTTTCCAATTTATTCTTTTTAAAACTGTTTCCAAGAAAAAATAACAAAAATACCGAACTCCGAGGAAAATTCAAATCGAAAAGTCCCTTATCAGATGGCAAAATCAAAAGCTCAAACACATCAAACGAATGAAAAAACAACTGTCATATTCCTGACTTGGTACAGACATTTCCTTATGTAGAAAATGGTGAATTAAACCTGGTGTTATAGCTAGCTAACTCTCTCACTTGTATGACAGTCGCATACAATTCCATTACATTGACAACAATGTGTGAACAAAACAAACAGACATAATAGGTAAAAATGTCAAAAATAGAGGTACAGCAGTCAACATCGTGTTACAATCTTAATCACTATAAAAACAGACAAATATATCAACAAAGAAAATCAAAATGGCATATAGACAAAGCAAATAAGCAAAATTGAAAGACAAGAATGCAAACAAATGACCACAGCACAACAACACATTGGTGGGATGCATAAGTACCGAGTCACGCCAAAGGCATATTACCAAAAATGGACTAAACAATAAAGGTTAATAATTTACAAAGAAACATAAAAAAATCACCATAACACGTAATTAGGATTATAATCAACGTCAGTACCTAGAATCTATACTTCAAGACCATCATGTATTATTTGTGAAGTTGATACGTAATATTTATAAACTAGGTCTTGGTATCTTCCGATGAACTTTTTTTTAGAAAAAGGAGGACGTTCTTTGACATAACCCTGGTCCATCAAATTTCTGCTCAGACACTGGAGACGATTTATAAAGTCTGCGTAGCAGCTGCAAAAAGTAAAATAACAAAAATTCCGAACTCGAAGGAAAATTCTAAACGGAAAGTTCTTTACAAAATGGTAAAATTAAAAGCTCAAACATATCTAATGAATGGAAAACAACTGTCATATTCCTGACTTGGTACAGGCATTTCCTTATGTAGAAAATGGTGGAGTAAGCTCTTGAATACCGAATGAATTGCGAAATGTATATCCCATATGCAGGTGAAGTTGGTATATTGCTAACAAAGAGAGGGAAATTGATAATTTCAAAATTAAAATCGTCTCGTTTGTCATAGATTCTAGTACTGAGATGACCGCTTATGCCAAATTCGAGGTATAAGTTTTAAAATGAGGCGGAGGAAGCCGTGTCTGTTGTTTCTTTAATTTCTAGTTTCGGAGGATATATCAATGGAACCCAATCAGAAAAGTTTGGAGTGTTAATTAAAAGAACATCATCAATATATCTGAATGTAAAATTAAATGATCTGGCTTCTTTAATCTTCTTGTTTTTGACAAGTGTCTGAAGGAACTCCGACTCATATCAAAATAAGAAGAGGTCGGCAAGGAGAGGCGCACAGTTTGTTCCTATAAGAATGCCGACAATTTGTTGAAACAGTCTACCTCCAAATTCAACAAATATGTTGTCAATAAGAAACTCCAGTATACTGATCACTTATTCCTCTTTGTAGCATGTTTTACCTTTTTGTTCACTATTAACGAAATATGCCGTATGGTATCCCAAAGTAATAAATTTATAGCGTATGCTACCATTTCTATATTGAAAAGCATTGTGGTTTATTTTTTTTAGACGATTTTTTAATTTCACATGGGGAATTGTGGTATATATACAGGGTTGAAAAATCAAAAGTTTTGATAGAATTAATTTCAGAGAAAGATCAATATTTGGAATTATCCAGAAGTTCTTTAGAGTTTTTTAGAATCCACATATGGTTAATATTACTACGTGAGTAAACAGTTTCACAGTATTTCTGAAGACATTACGGACAGAATTTTCGTCAGTCTAAAAAGTAAAACAACAAAAACACCGAACTCCAAGGAAAATGGACAATTCCTTTTTAGAACATGCAGGTGAGCCGGTAATGTACCGTTGTTTGTACGGATTTTTGTGAAGCTGAGGTGTCCAATACAAATTAGCTAAGTCCTCAGATTTGTTCAACATGTTCAATGTAATGTTCATTGAAGCCAGGAAGGACTTATGATTCGCCAAAATCTCATCCTTGTCAAATGATATGTTTTTGTATGTGGGATTACCTGAGTGCTCATTTATTCATAATTCCTTAACATGACACTCGTAGTAGTACGATTTACATACAAAGACAATATTATTTGAAGCTTTGTCCGCAGAAATAACAACATATTTATCGTGAAGTGATGATAGACATAAACAAATGGTTATAAAGAACCCTAAATTGCGGATCTTTCTTATTAGACCGGTGTCGATTCATCCTTTTACCCAAAGTTTGTCGAGTTTCACCAACATAAAGTAGTCCAGATAAAGTACATTCAATTCCGTAAACGACATTGTCCGTGGAACAGTCCAGAGGTTCAGAGGATTTTGTAAAATAAGTTTTTCCTGTTAAGGTACTAGTGAAATCTGGAGTATAATGGATAGAACTTGCTTTCAACCTGTATGTTCTATTTGTAGCCTCGGTAGCCATATTGGTCAGCAGACGGGACCATTGAACACAAATCTTTAAACTAGATACCCTTGGGATGATTGTGGTCAATATACAAATAATAAAATATGGTATGATTGCCAATAACACAATTATCTACCATAGGCTAACAGACATGGATGTAACTAAAACCCATATCGTATAGTTAGCTATTAAATGCCCAACATGACAAAATGTAAACAATTCAAACGAGAAAAATCAAATGGCATTGATTTATGATAAAACAAAAAACAAGACAAAAATGACAGAAAACAACCAACGATAACTCCTGATTTACAGGCTACTAAATTGGAACAGCTGACCACACGGTATTGGTTTTGCCCATTATTGAAGGCAGTACAGTGACCTATGATTGCTGAAATCTACGTTATTTGGAATTTGTGTGATATTTGTCACAGTTTCAATCATACCATATTACATTATTTCATATAACTTTCTGAAGAAAACCTCAGATTCAAACAACAAATAACATTTTAAAAGACGTACAAATGCTGATTTGTTTTTATTTGTCAAGTGTAATTTTTTTACAAACAGTTTGTATTTCGATGAATACTAAGGACCTCATGTCACGATACCTTGTTTTTGTATTTATATGAAGACGCATTAATTAAAACATAACATTTTCAAACACAATGCAAAAAGTATCTTTCTAAGTTTTTTAGTATAACCATTGATGAGTATAACTAACAGAATTTCGTGGACATTTATAAAGACATGCAGTAAT